AATATATGGGCGTTGGGGGGGGGGGGGGGAAGAGTGTGTGTGTGTGTGTGTGAGTACGCAGCTGATCATGTTCAATCTATTGACTTGAGTAAGTAAAAATCTTAGTACAGGCTATTTGAGAATTTATTTTGTCCAATTTCCATCACATATGACATTTCAATCAATCAGAAACAGCTGAAATTTGGACGTAGTTTATATGCATTAATATCTATCAGCAGAAGTTGGATATACCATCCAGCCGTTTAGATAGAGCCTTCGAATTATTATTTATTTTTTTATAAAAAGAAAGACTGATGATTAAACTCCAAGCCTTAACTGCCCAGTTTAACCCTCGAGTTTTGGTTCCGGGCACTCTCTATTTTCAAGCTAGCTACAGCTGCTTGATGGTGATGCCATTATGCTGTCTTAACCACTGCCCCCCTCATTTGATCTGTCTTTATTTATCAAAACCCAAAATGAAAGTGTGAGCATATATTACAAAAACTCTAAAACGCTTAGGGAAATCACAATACTCACTTGTGCAACAAAACCTATACGTTGCTATATTATGAAATTATGTTTTTGTCCTTTAAAGAAAAAACATAAAGTATTGATTTTAAAGGAATTCAGTCTTTTCAATGATGCATTGGTCATTAAAGAATTATCTGGGATATATATATTTGTTTTATTTTTTTATAATAGTAAAATAATTAATTTACCTCAAATAGAAAAAACATTGCAACTGTTAATGAAGGGTATCTATCTTTTTATTTTTAAAAATACAATAAAATAATATTTTTACCCTTGAAAAAAAAACGTTCATCTAGGGGCATTTTGATATTCTACGTTGAATAATTGATTTATATATTTAAAAAATTATTGGAATCGTATGATGCCTTCTAATTGCCAAACTTACTTTTTTGTTGTATTGTTTGAAGTTTTGTTGCATTGTTTGAAGTTTTGTTGCGTCTTTTTCCATTGATGCGGTGTGTAACGGTGTCGAATAAATAATTTATAGTTGGCAGTCATTTTTTTTTTTCCCATTCATTTCTCTCTTTTTCCAAAAAGATACATATTAGTTTCTTTTATCTTTGATATTTTAATTTTAATTTTTAATTTTTAATTTGTCTTTGATATTTTAATTTCAATTTCAATTTTTTAATTTTTTTAATTTTTAATTTTTATTATTAACTATTTTATAAAAATTTTGTTTATTTCAATTTACTCATTCAAATATAATTTGTCATATTTATTTTTTCCAATTCTATCCTTATTATTTTTATTTTTATTTTTTTCACTTGAATCTTTTTTAAAATTTTATTAGTTTTCAATTTCATTTTTCAATTAAAGTTTATGATGTATTATTTTTTTTAAAATAGTTCTTATTTTTTTATTTTTTTCTTTTCAATTTAACCCTCCAATCAAAAAAATTTAATTGACCACTTTTTTATTTTTTATTTTGGTTTTCAATCTTATAATTTTAATTGCAATTTTTATTTTAGATTTTTTTATGTAATTAAATTTTTTTTCCTGGTTTCATCTTTCACCATTTGATTTGCTAGGAATTAGACTTTGCGGTTTTTCTATTTATGGTGTTTCTAGTCTAATAACTTAGATTATGAGTTTAAAAAGTTAGCACGAGTTAACATATTTTTTTTTTACTTATTTTTTTGATTGATTATTCAACATTATTTTTTTAAAAAAATTGGCTTTGTTGTTTTCTTCAAAAAAAATTTATTATATTATCCTGATCTCATAACTTGAATCACGAGTTTTGCAGGTTGGATCGAGTTAACTTGTTTTTTATTATCCGGGTTATATGTTTATCATACTGACTCGGGTTAATTTTTTTTTCCATTTTCTTTATCCATTTTCGTGCTACCTGGCTTTTTTTTTCAAGTTATCTTAATCTTTTTTTATATAAAAATCTTGTTCATTTATTATTGTTTCTTATTTTTTTCATCATTTAATTAAAATAGAATCAACTTATTAAACCTGATCGAGCTATAACCCAAATCATTTATTTTTCCTATTTCTTTTAAATGTGCTTGCACATTATCACTATCTTTTTATTATTTTTAATTTTAATTGATATGTTTTTTAATATGTTTTTTTCTTAAATAAATTTTTAATTTATATTTCAATTCTTATCACTCTCCTTTGTGATTTTTTTTGTTTTGATTATTTAACATTTTTTTAATAGAGTTTTTTAAAATTATTTGCATGTATTTAATTTTTGAAGATTTTATTTTCGTCCTTTTCCATTGATGCGGTGTGTAACGGTGTCGAATAAAAAATTTATAGTTGGCAGTCATATCTTTTTTTTTTTCCCATTCATTTCTCTCTTTTTCCAAAAAGATACATATTAGTTTCTTTTATCTTTGATATTTTAATTTTAATTTTTAATTTTTAATTTTTTATTATTAATCATTTTGTAAAATTTTTATTTATTTCAATTTATTCATTCAATTATAATTTGTCATATTTATTTTTTCCAATCCTATCCTTATTATTTTGATTTTGATTTTTTTCTCTTGAATCTTTGTTAAAATTTTATTAGTTTTCAATTTCATTTTTCAATCAAAGTTTATGATGTATTATTTTTTTAAAATAATTTTTATTTTTTTATTTTTTTCTTTTTAATTTAACCCTCCAATCAAAAAAATTTAATTGTCCACTTATTTATTTTTTATTTTGATTTTCAACTTATAATTTTAATTGCAATTTTTATTTTAGATTTTTTTATGTAATTAAATTTTTTTT